CCCGCTCCCCGGGACAGGCCATGAAAGGCTGCAGGGTTGGGGGGTGAAGCAGGAAGGAAACAGATGGGGATGTGAGTAATTAAATCAATATATCCCAAACACAAGGCGGGGAGGGGGTGGGGAGCCAAACAACTAGGACGAAGAATGAAGTTTCAGCTCATCATTGGGCCTTCATTTCCAATAGACTGTCCCTTAGATTGATGCATGCAACCTAAGTGCAACAGAAAATAAAACACACGCACGCACTAGAATCTCTTTTGTTTCATTTTTCTGGAATTCTGTGATTTCTTTTTTCATATAATTCTGCTTCAAAAAAAAAAAAAAAAAAAAGGCAGTCCCACCGAAGAAGAATAGGTTTAAGTACTTTTTCTAGGGGCCAGGTCAATTTGTTTGTGTTTTAGAGCAGGCATGTGCTAAGCCTTTCCTATATTTTAAACAGATAATGTCCTTGTAATTTGGGAGCACTTACATGAAGGCCGGCTTTGTCCCCTTTTCTCAGTCTGTTTGCTGTTGCTGCCCGTTGTGTTGAAAAAGAAATACTGTACCTTTAAATTACGAGGCTCCGAATAATCACTGTTGGGCAGTGAAAAGGCTAATGTGCTGTGGAGAACAAGGAGTTTAATCTAATTTAGTTGGAGGGTGTCTGTCTGCGGTGTTGTTTTTTGGAGTGTGGGAATAGCGGAGAGAGGCTGCCCCCTTGAATGGTCCCTCCTGAGCCAGAAACAGTGGGGAGCCCCGTAGACGCCAGTGATCCAAAGCCGGCCCTTGAAAGGGGGATTAGAAGCAGGCTCTGATTTGCAATTCACACTAATGCACCCCGTGGAACCTCTGGTAATATTTCAAGCCATATTTCAGGGGACGTGGCCTTAATATAACTGCCTGCATCATGTTGGAGCAAACCCACCCCACGCCAGTTACCCATTTTAGGACCTGCCTGCTTTTTTGGCCGCACTCTCCTCCCACCCAAGCCGGCAATCTTTGTACAAAGGAGTGTTTCTGGGTGTCCTTCAAACTTCGGCGCCTGTTGCATTTGCTGCTTTGGTCCTCTGGTGGCACAGACCGTGGGTTTTCCTAAGTGAGCATCCCTTCAGAGGACCCGAGGTGTTTTCCTCAGAGAAAAACGGGGCCCAGGCTAACCGTGCCCCTGCTTGGTTAGAAATAGAATTTTCCCTGCCTGCTTTTTTTTTTTTTTAATCTGATAATAAGTTTCTGCAAAAATGTACCGCAGGATGAGGTCAGGGCAATGGTGCCTCTTGGTATCAGAGACCCCTCTGCGTGTCAGGCAATTATCAGCAAATAGATGGCATTTTCGTCTTACTTGAAAGCAGAACTGGAAAAGTTCCCGATGAAACATACATATTAACAACGTTGGAAGATAAAAGAGCACAACTCCCCCCCCACCCCCCGCCCATTTCACCGGATCACCAAACCTGAATGTGCCTGGAGAGATCATCCAAGCCAGAGCCACCCCACCCCACCCCCACCCCCCCGAGAGCAACTGGGATAGCCTGAACCATGTTTTATGTGACACTTTCCCCCAAATACGGCCCTATTTCTTTCCACGAGCTTTGCTGATACTCTACAACTTTACTCTTGCAATTAGCCTGTAATGTGCAAAGTCTACAGTTTAATTTCTTTCTATTGCTGAAAGTGTCAGTACTTTTATCTTAAAGAGATTATGTGGGTTTTCTCTAATCTCATTTCAGAGGGCTGAGAACACTGCTTTATAATTTCCACTGACTATAACATAATAAGGAGAGAGAGATACAACTTTGATTTTTAGCAATACCCATGTCAAAGTATTTTATCCAAAAATATTTAGGTATCCTTCAAAATACTGCCTGACTTCAGAAATAGTTCCTCTCAAAAACCTTCTACTTTTCTGGGTGAACATTTGCAAGAACTTGAAGGTAGTTCGTGTTTAAGAGTAGCTCTCCCATATATTTTTTTTTAGGTGGTTGGGGTAAAAAAAAAAATATATATATATATATATATATAATTTTATATTTTCCTTATCCCTTCATGTTATTTGAAATCATGTTTAATTATAAAGTTTCATTAAAAACCTTTGCTCAAAATTTTAGAGGCCTAATAAGATTTCCATTAATTTAAACATATCACTATTCCCACGACAGCCCCAAATGCTTTCTTTTGCCTCTTTCATCCATGGTTAAATATGTAAATAAAATGTCTAAAGTCATTCTTCAAAGAAGACAAAGGAAAAAAGAGCTGAGGGGAAAGACAGCCATAAAATTCCTCCCAATTCTCCATAACATTTGCCAGAGGGGGGCCGGTTGCCAGCCAGGGCCGAGCAGCAGGGGACCCCGCTGCTCCTTACAATCACACATCTCAAATCCCACACACAGGAAAAAAATAAAATAAAATATCTTTTCAGCTGGAGCCATCAAAAGGCCCTTTTCATTTATTAGTTACAGAGTTATCTTGCAGTTGCTCATTTCTCAGAGCCCTCGTTTTTCTATAATAATGTCTATTTGTTGGTTTCCGCCTCAGCTGGGCAGCATGGAGCACTTCTGCAGACATTTTTATAAAAACGAGGGAAGAAAGCAATCTGAAGTGGTTATAGCTAAAATAATGGGTCTGAACATGGCTGAATTAAAATGGCACATAAAAGATCAATTAGGACGCACTTTCTCAAAAAGCTCACGCCCACTCCTGGCGTTTGGCGCTCTCCCTTGCGTTCACAGTTTCTGAGGGACAGAAACAAAAAGAAAAGAGACAAAATGGTGCCAGAGGAGGACCTTAGCAAGGAAAATTCTGGAGCAGCCAAGTGATGCCCACTGAGCCTTGTGTAACTTGAAGGTTTTGAAAATAAGGCACTAAGCAAAGCAAAACAAAATCATAAAATGGCAGTCTTTAAAAACGTGATTTTGTTTTTAACTTGGGAAATAAAGGGTGTGAAGGTGGTCGTTCTGATGGCATTACTGTCTACCTTCTTTTCCACTCTCTGCCTCACTGCCGCCTCCTCCAACACCCCACAGGGAGAGGCAGGGACAATGATTCAGGCCCGGCTGCACAAAGCTTCCTATTAGTTCTGAGATTCTGGGCAAGCCCCAGCTTCAGTCTTCTGGGTGTTTACTGGATGGATGGATGGGTGGGTGGTGGGTGGGCTGACGTGGATAGGTGGTGTATGGGTGGGTGGATGGATGGGTGGGTGGATGGATAGGGGGATGGGTGGATGGATGGATGGTGGATAGGTGGTGGATGGGTGCATGGATGGATGGTGGAGAGGTGGTGGATGGGTGGATGGATGGATGGTGGAGAGGTGGTGGATGGGTGGATGGCAAATGAACAGATGAATGGTGGGTGGGTGGATGGTGGGTAGGTGGTAGATGTGTGAATGTACGTATGGATGGACGGTGGGTGGATAGGTGGGTGGGTGGATGGGTGAATGGCTAAGTGGATATGTGAGATCTCCCAAGTTTCTTACACATGTAAAATAGTACCCCTTGTTTTAAATAAAAGCCAATCTTCTAAAAAGCCTGCTCAGAGGAAGCGCCCCACTTCTGCCACTGCTTACAAAAAGCTTCCCAGGGGAGGAGGGGTGCCTGGCAGGAGCCTCTCCTTCCTGAGCGCTCCTAGAGGTAGCTGGCGAAACCGACAGCTCTCCTCTTGCAGGATTCACCCAGCTCTCCCAAAGCGGGGTGCAGGGCAGCAAGACTGAGGGGGCTGCACCGATCCCCAGGGGTGTCTGTCCACATCGCACACCTCTCCACTGCTGACCTCAGAAAGGAAGGGGTAAAAAGAAGGCCCGCTCCTCTGACCTCTCCTCCCGGCCGGCAGTCCTCCTACTGCCCTCTCTATACGTGATCCTGGGAGTCTTAGAGGAACTTAAAAAGATCCTGACCTCGAGGGCGTCTAAGAGGAGAGAGACCGGCCACCTCCTAGGGGAGCTGTTTATTTAAGGGTTACTATGGCATGCTAGGTGAAGCGCTTTGCATGTTCTGTTGGGAGGCAAGCAGTGGCGTGGGTGCCCACCCCTTAAGCCCAGTGCCACAGACCGGCGGGGGCGTTGTGTCCCAAGTGACTTTGTCACAAACTGGCTCCAGTATAAGGGGGTGGGGGTGGCATAGGGGCGTCCGGCCAGGACGCTCCCTCACTTCCCATCGAAACCGAGTGGCGTGCGCGCCCCCACCCCCAGGTCCGGAGGAGTTGGGGACCCTCCGCGCGAGCTGACGCCGCGACCTCCCAGCCCCAGCTCCGCATCGTCTTACGGGTCTGCAGCCTAGGAGGGCGCAGGCCAGGCAGATCACTCGCCAAATAATATAAATACCCGACGAGCGAATGACTTCCCATAATAAATAAACTCAGCCGCCTAGAAGAAATCACCAGCCCTGCCTGGCGCGAGGCCCCTACACTCCGCGGCTCTGTCGGGGGCGGGGGTCACTACACAAGCCAAGCCCCCACTTCCCGAGGCGGGGGGGGGAAAGAAAAAAACAACAACCCAGGCGCCCCAGGAGGCTGCCCTCCCCTCCCCTCCCCCTCCCGCCTTCCCCGCGGAGACCTCGGAGGAGCGGCCCTAAAACCTGGCTTCCCCGAGCCCCTCCCCCTGCCCTGAGCTCTTCTCTTTGAAATTTCAAAGAGGGCCCCTCCCCGAAGCCGGAGCCGGAGCGCGGGCCTCGGAAGACGCGGGCAGGTCTACGAGCCGAGGGGCCACTTTATGGCCAGGGCTGTAAAACGCCCATCCCAGCCCGCTCTGAAAGCCCCCCGCCCGGGGCCCACCGTCTGGGCGAGGGAAGATGCGCCCCCGGGCCCCCGGCGCGTCCCCGAACTTCGGCCGCGCGGGCCCCTGGGCGCCGGGGACACCGGGGCTTCCCCGCGCGGGGGTCCGGCCGGCGGGGCGGCGGGGGCGGGCGCCGGGCCGGCCTGCTCATGCAAAGCGGCGGCGGGGGCGGGGCGCGCGCCCGGGGGCGGGGCCTGTGGCCGCCCGGCTGCGCGCCCCCCTCGCCTTGTGCGCGTCTTCTCCGCCCGGGACGCGCGGCGCCGAGCAGCTGCGGCCGGGCCCGGCGAGGCCGGCGCGGGAGGGAGGAGCCGCCGCCAGCCGGCCGGCCACCGTGCGCCCGCGCCGCCGGCCTCCCGGACGCGCCACCTGGGCGTTCGCGGAAGAGCCCCAAGTTCGCCGCGGCCGGGAGTCGCCGCCGCCGCCGCCGCCGCCGGGAGCTCGGGGCCCGTCGCGCTTCCCGGTACTGTTGGCCAACTTTGCTCCGTCTCCCACGCGGCCCCCACCTCGGCGGAGGCCCGGGGCGCGGCGCGCAGCGCTCGGCCGGCCGAGCGGGCATGGGCGGGGGCCGGCGCGGGGCCGGGGAGCCGGGGCCCGCGGCCCGAGCGGGGCAGCGGCGGCGCTGAGGGGAGCGCACCTCCCCGCCGCGGCACCTCCGCCGCCAGCATGCCGCGGCCGGGCCCCCGCCTGTGGCTGGTCCTGCAGGTGATGGGTTCGTGCGCCGCCATCAGCTCCATGGACATGGAGCGTCCGGGCGACGGCAAGTGCCAACCCATCGAGATCCCGATGTGCAAGGACATCGGCTACAACATGACCCGCATGCCCAACCTGATGGGCCACGAGAACCAGCGCGAGGCCGCCATCCAGCTGCACGAGTTCGCGCCGCTGGTGGAGTACGGCTGCCACGGCCACCTCCGCTTCTTCCTGTGCTCGCTGTACGCGCCCATGTGCACCGAGCAAGTCTCCGCCCCCATCCCCGCCTGCCGGGTCATGTGCGAGCAGGCCCGGCTCAAGTGCTCCCCGATCATGGAGCAGTTCAACTTCAAGTGGCCCGACTCGCTGGACTGCAGCAAGCTCCCCAACAAGAACGACCCCAACTACCTGTGCATGGAGGCGCCCAACAACGGCTCGGACGAGCCCTCCCGGGGCTCGGGCCTGCTCCCGCCGCTCTTCCGGCCGCAGCGGCCGCACGGCGCGCAGGAGCACTCGCTCAGGGACGCGGGCCCGGGGCGCGCCAGCTGCGACAACCCGGGCAAGTTCCACCACGTGGAGAAGAGCGCGGCGTGCGCGCCGCTCTGCACGCCCGGCGTGGACGTGTACTGGAGCCGCGGCGACAAGCGCTTCGCGGTGGTCTGGCTGGCCGTGTGGGCTGTGCTGTGCTTCTTCTCCAGCGCCTTCACCGTGCTCACCTTCCTCATCGACCCGGCGCGCTTCAGGTACCCCGAGCGCCCCATCATCTTCCTCTCCATGTGCTACTGCGTCTACTCGGTGGGCTTCATCATCCGCCTCTTTGCCGGCGCCGAGAGCATCGCGTGCGACCGGGACAGCGGGCAGCTCTATGTCATCCAGGAGGGGCTGGAGAGCACGGGCTGCACCCTCGTCTTCCTCGTCCTCTACTACTTCGGGATGGCCAGCTCGCTCTGGTGGGTGATCCTCACGCTCACCTGGTTCCTGGCTGCCGGCAAGAAGTGGGGCCACGAGGCCATCGAGGCCAACAGCAGCTACTTCCACCTGGCGGCCTGGGCCATCCCGGCCGTGAAGACCATCCTGATCCTGGTGATGCGCAGGGTGGCGGGCGACGAGCTCACGGGCGTGTGCTATGTGGGCAGCATGGACGTGAACGCCCTCACCGGCTTCGTGCTCATCCCGCTGACCTGCTACCTCGTCATTGGCACTTCCTTCATCCTCTCCGGCTTCGTGGCGCTCTTCCACATCCGGAGGGTGATGAAGACGGGCGGGGAGAACACCGACAAACTGGAGAAGCTCATGGTGAGGATCGGAGTCTTCTCTGTGCTCTACACGGTGCCGGCCACCTGTGTGATCGCCTGCTACTTTTACGAGCGCCTCAACATGGAGTACTGGAAAATCCTAGCCACTCAGCACAAGTGCAAAATGAACAACCAGACCAAAACTCCGGACTGCCTGATGGCCGCGTCCATCCCGGCCGTGGAGATCTTCATGGTGAAGATCTTCATGCTGCTGGTGGTGGGCATCACCAGCGGGATGTGGATCTGGACGTCCAAAACCCTGCAGTCCTGGCAGAACGTTTGCAGCCGCAGGTTCAGGAGGAAGAGCAGGAGGAAACCCGCCAGTGTGATCACCAACAGTGGGATTTACAAGAAAGCCCAGCATCCCCAAAAAACCCATCTTGGAAAATATGAAATCCCTGCCCAGTCTCCCACCTGTGTGTGAACTGCCTTGGGGGGTGGGGGTGGGGGGGCGGGCAGGGAGGGAAGGCCAGAGTGGAAAACTTTCCCAGACAGGATACGGTGGCAGTCAGAGCCAAAACGTGGTGCTTTTTCCTGGTTGGCTGGTTGGGGTTTGTTTTTGTTTTTTGTTTTTTTAAATAAAAGTAAAAGAAAAAAGTTTTTACCCTGAAAGTCAGGATGCTGTGATACACTGAAAGTAAAAATGTGCTTCCAGGTTACTTGTTCTGTTTTGTTTCCAGAAGGAGAGCTCCTCCCTTACTTGAGTAGCCTCTCGTGTAACTAATTTGTGGTCAAGTAGTTGATTCAGCCCCCAGAAGAAAACTTTTGTTCAGAAGCTTCCATAAATATAGAGCCCTGTGTTTGAGTTGGCTTTGCTACCCATTTACAAGTCAGAGGAGAGGTAACTTCTTTGGACATTAAAGAACTTCTGCCGGGAGCGTGGGGAGGGGGCGGGGAGAGGTAAAGTGGGTCTCCAGCGAGGAGCCATCCCTGGGGCCCACCCCCAGGAAGGCTGTGTGTGGGACAGCAGGTTCTGTGTAGACAGGGAGAAAGGGGAGCCCTGACGATTTAACACACTCCAGTGGATTTGGAGTCCCTTAAAATAGACTCCAGCCTCTCGCCTTCACAAATGGGTCTTTCTCCAAGACAGAAACTTCCAAACCTAACATTTGCAAATGCAAACAATGTGCAATACATTTCTTCCCTCTCTCCGTGGAAATGAAAAGAGAAACAAGTATTTTGCTGTACATAAAGACAACAAAAGAAATCTCAACAAAAGCACAGAGAGGCCCAGCCCTCAGAAACCCTCTAGTGTTACATTTTGTGGCTTTTTAATGGAAACCAAGCCAATGTTATACACGTTTGGACTGATTTGTGGAAAGGAGGGGAGGGGGGGAAAGGGGAGAAAGATCATTCAAAAGTATCCAAAGGGCTTATTGACTCTTTCTATTGTTAAACAAATGGTTTCCATGAATAGCTCAAGAAGCACTAGACAAGTCTAGTTGATTCTCCCCACCACCCCAGGGGAGAGCTGTTCTGCTTGTGTATATTTGTAATATATGATATTTTTCATGCTCCACTATTTTATTAAAAATAAAATATGTTCTTTAGTTTGGTGCTGGTCCCTTGTGTGTTGTGAGGCTTCCCTTCCCTGAGTGTGGAGAGAGCAGAGCAAACTTTCTCCCCCTACCAGCTTTTCAAGCAAATCCTGAGTGTGCATCTCTATCTAGAGATTACTGGTTATCCGTGTGAAACGGCAGATGGGCGGATGGCAAGGTTGGCAGAATAATTGAATTTCGAGTTTCAGTGGAATGACATGCAGGAAATGGGGAGGGCCGGAGATCGTTGCTATGACTCTTGGTGGCTGGATGTGAGGGCCTGGTTGTAGACACACTTTCTCGGGGAGCGCCTGGGCTTCTAAGTGTGGCTGAATCCCGGGGAGCCTGGACCCACCTCCGGTGATATCTCCAGGGAGCGTGGCCAGCCCAGTCAGAGTATTAAATCCGAGTAGCCTTCGGTGGGTCTGCTGGGATCAAATCGTACCTAGACAGAGTTCTGTGCGTCAGTCCAGAATGTGCTGGTTTTGTCGCAAGTCCAGGACATGTTTACAGAACAGATTATAGACCTGGACAGGATAAAATATCTGCTCAGGGTGGCAGGTCATTAAGGAGGTCTATCAGCTTTGTATGTCTGTGAACTTGGTTCTTCTCCTGTGTCTGCTGCTGAGCGGTAGAGACCTAAAGTGGGCCCAGGTTCAGTGCTCAGAGGCACAGCTGAACTCCAGTCCTAACACGAAGGATCCAAGGGCATGGTCCAGACATCCTGCCGTGGGAAATCAGCAGAATAAACCAAGCTCTCCGTGGGGTCGTGCTGATGTCAAGTTCCCAGTTGAACAAAGAGCCCTTAAGAATTTCGAACATGTATTAAGCACTTCCTAAGATGGACAGAAGCCTGGAGTCAGGGCAGCCTGTTTCCCAAAGAGGGTGTTTAGGAGTTAAGCCTGATGATCGTAGGACCACCCTCACATCAATATCAGAGCTGGGCAAAGGTACGGGTCGGTTTGTGGGGGCCACCTCACCTAGACGTGTATGGCCGTGGCCTGCCCGAGCAGGGACCCTGGGTGGTTTGGGATCAAGTTCAAGAAACACCAACTAGGTAGGCAAAGTAACTTAAAATAAAATCTAGAATAGCCTAAAGTGCATTTAAAAAAAAAAAAAAAGGTTTAAAAAATGCCCACAAGCAAAAACCTATTTGTTGATCAATCCCACCCAGTCCCCCAAAAGACCACCTAGGGATATTGATGTATGGGTGTATGTATGTATGTACATAATGCTTCCTTTGGGTGACTCAGGAAAAATAAAAATGACGTGTTTGGAACAGAGTTTTGCAGAGTCTAGAAAGATAACAGTATTAGCTGCTGTGAGCGTCAGAGCTGAGTGTGATTCCCCCAAGTCCTCAGTTGTCGACTTACTGGACTCGTCAGCCACCCAGTATGTGCCCGTGTGTGGGCTGCAGACCTCAGTCCCGGGGAGAACAGCGGGCTGACCTGCGGAAGCACCTCTGCTGTTTGTTGTCTGGAAGTGTTTCAGTGTGGACCCTCCCCCCAAACCACAGGGACCCTGTTCATAAATGTCAAAGGATTTTGCACACGGTCGGGCAGGTGCACCAGGGCACCGACTCTGCCAGTGATCCTCGCCCCTACTCGCCCCAGTTTCCAGTAGCCCCAGGAGGGATTTCTGAGCAAACTGCTCGACCCGGGGTCACATGCAGATAATTCGTGAATTTTAGGAGAAACATCAAGGCTCCGGAAGGGAGAAATCTGCGAACACCCCTGCTAGGCTTTGGGTCCCCTGTGGCTGGACTGGGGACTTGCAAAGGAATTGCTGATTGTCTTAATGTGGAGACTCCTCAGGCCCCGGCTTCAGCTCCAGGGAAACGGAAACCTGCTTCAGGTGACAGATCCGGGGGGTGAGGTCAGAGAAGGTGACTGCCCCAGGTCACACTGCAGGCCATCCCGGGTATTCCTTCCTTTGGCACCCAGCCACTCACCACCTCGTCCGTGCCAGGGCCCGGGAAACGGGGCAAGCGCACCCGGCCCTCGGCTCCGAGGTCACCGCCTGGTACGAGAGACCCGCACAGCGGGAAAGGGGCTCATGCGAGGCGCATCTCCCGCGCATCTATTCTGAGTGGGGGAGGCCTCCCAAAGGGGGCTCAAAATGCACAGAAGGCAGAAGGTCCAACAGGAACAGTTTCGTGGCGGGGTGACGTTGCCGGGATAGGCTAACGGCTAGAGCCGGAGTTAGGGGCAGGGGATCAAGGCTTTCATGCGGACCCAGCCTGTGCGGGGACCTAGCCACGGGCCTCGGGGTGTAATGGCAGGTACAAGAGAGCAATGACAATCGGTCCAGCAGGCCCTTGGGAGCACTGCCTGCCTGCCGGGAGCTCGACAGGCTTTACCCAGAGGCCCAGAGAGGTTCACTAAATTCCCAGGGTCACACAGCAAGTACGAGTTAGAGCCAGGACGGGAACCAGGCAGCCTGATCACAGATCCCAGACCCCTGACTCCATCGGTAATTGCTGGATGAGGGAATGATGGCTAAGGACTTGATGCCGGTTTCCAGGCTCGCTCAGTCTGCTGACACGCTTTGGCAGGACAATTCTCAGCCCCGTCTTAAGGATGAGGATGACGGACCCCAGAGAAGTCCAGACAGGAGCCCCAGGCCATGCGGTGGTGAGCAGGGGCCAGGAACGTGAGCCTGGCTGTGTGTTTCCAAACCCACACTGCTGGCTACTAGCCCACCCCCCACCCCCACCTGGGGCCCGACGGCGGCCGTCCATGCCTGTGCTGCGAGGAGGGGGCACGGGGCGCTCAGGCACGGACTGCACAGGGCCGTGCGGGCTCGGGAGAGGAGAGGGGGTGTGGCCGACTGCCTTCTGCTGTGGTTGCAGAGGGAGCTGAAGAGTGGGCACTCGGAAGCAGGGGCAGCAGGGCTGGGTTCATGCCCAGACAGGCCAGAGGGGACACGTGGTCAGGGATGGCCACGGTTCTTACTGGGGGGTCAGGTGGCATTCACCAAGACAGGAGGAAGGAAACAGATGTGTTGGTGGAGAATGGAAGATGGATGCAGGGTAGACAGTGAGGGGCCTCTGATACCTCCTGGTGGAGGTCAGTCTGCAGGCTGGGAAGGGGGCTGGAGACACAGGTGGAGAGGTCAGCTGGGGGCAGAGGAAGGAGGAGGGGGAGGAGGGTAGAGGGAGGAGGGAGTAGGAAGAAGTAGGGGGGAGGAAGGCAGAGGGGAAATGAGGGAGGAAGAGAGGAGGGAAGAGGAGAACAGAGGGGGTAGGAAGAGGGAGGAGGGAGGAAGAAGGAGGGCAGAGGAGGGAGGAGGGTAGAGGAGGGAGGAAGAGGAGGGAGGAGAGGAAGGAGAGGAGGAGGGAGGAGGAAGAGAGAGGGGAGGAGAGAGGGAGGAGGATGGAAAAGGAGGGGGGAAGGAGGGAGGGGGAGTAGGGAGGAGGAGGGAAGGGGGAGGGCAGACCAGGGAGGAGGGAGGAGGAGAGGGAGGGAGAGCAAAGCGGGAGGAGGGAGGGGGAGCACAGGTGGAGGAAGAGCAGTCCCCTAACCGCTGGGGCTGGGTTTCTCACTGTCAGTGGAGGATTGCCAGAGATTATGTCATGGTCTCATCTTGAGTCGGAATATGTGATCCAGATAGAGGTTAGGGGAGCTCGGAGGCTGGAAGCCCCAGCATCCCTCCCCTCTACCCTTCCGAGCCTGGGGCACTCACCTCTCTCTTTCCTTTAACCCTTGGGCCACCCAAGCAAAAGTAAAATGATCTCCACAGGCTGCTAGTCTATAATTCTCTACCAGAGCCTGGGGGGATGCTGCTTGGAGACCGAAAACAGACAAGTCAAGAAGTATTCTCCAAGTCGTAGATATTCTCCTATTTCCCATCTTATTTCCTTGAAGGGAAGAGAGGAGGACAAAGAGGAACAGCAGATGGAGGCGTCCGCACCCTTACAGGGGTGGGGATATAATATGGCTTGGGACTGAGCCCCATCTCGCCCCTACTCGCCCCGGTTTCCAGTCTGACTCTGCCCTTAGACGAGCTGCTGGACTTCGCTGCCTCCATTTCTCCATCTATGAAATGGGGGTGTTGCTGGTGCCTCCCCCACTGGGCTGTCCCTCACTAGGTGCTCCGTGTCCTAAGTGACCTAAT